TGGTAGTAACCAACCAATATTTAATTTGAACTAAAGCTTACTCCATGAGATAAAACCCATACTCAATTCTGTTTGGATAACCAAGAATCTGAGATTAAATAGACCAGGGGCCTATGGGAAAACCAAAAACTACTGTTCTGCTAAAGGAACATAGCAATACAATGACTCCAAATGGCACTCTACTATATTCAGATCTGTGCCTTGCTCAACCATTATCAGAGCAGCTTTTTTTTTCCTGCAGTAGATATGAACAAATATAGAGAGAGACTCAGAGACGACAATATGCAGAGAGGAACACACAGGCCCAACAGAAATGTCTCTTATCAAATCCCTCTCCTTAGGACAGAACTCTTTGGAAGAGGGGGGAAGAGAAAGCATAAGAACCAGAGGGGATGGAGTCAAGGCCTTCTAGACTCATCAGGATTGCAAACATATGAACTCACAGAGACTGTGGCAGCATGCACAGAGCCTGCATGGGTCTGGACCAGATGGGGTTCTAGAGCTGAAAGTGGACTCATGCCTCCACTGAGACTCTATTTCCAATTGATAGCCATTTGCAAATAAAACGTAAGTTTTCTCCAAGGGAGTGTCACTGGGAAAACAAACCACTCTTAAGGATAGGCCTCAGGCCCAGCCTAAATGGCCAGGAGAAAACAAACTCAATGGGATCTTTGGAGGTACTTTGTCTCATAATGGTACATCCGGAAATTCTTTGTTTTACCTTATAGGTCCTTTACATATATAGTATGGCTTCCAGTCTTGTGTTTTTATATTTATGTATGTTTCTCAACTGTGCATTTCTTGTATGTTTTTCTTTGGATCTTTTTCTTGCTTGGTTGCTTCGTCCTGTTCCAATTCGTTTGTTTTTGTTTTAATCTTATTGTATTTTATTATTATCCCTTAGATGCCAATTTTTTTATTGGATATTTTATTATTTATTTACAATACAGATGTCATCCCCTTTCCCCATTTCCTCTCCCTAGAATCCCCTATCCTATACCCCTGCAAGAGGTATGCCATGTTTTTACACCATTTTGATTACATGCAAGTATTAAGGTCAGGTCTAGGTTGAAAGGCTAGCAATAAAATATATGCAAATAGTCTAGGAACAAGCAAGACAATAAACATAACTAGTCAAAGAAAAAGCAAGGCAATAAACCCAATTCTGTGAACACTCCCATGATCACTGTTTCTAAAGGCTTATCAGAATGACCAAAGTATCTGAGCCTACTTCCCTGTCCTAGCCCACCAGTCTGTTTTCTAAAGGGAGACAGAATTGAGGTAGATCAAGATGAAAGGGGATGTGGGAAGGAACTGGGAGGGGTAGAGGGAGCAGATATCATAATCATAATATATTCTGTGAAAAAAATCTATTTCCGATAAAAAATACATAAAAATAAAACTGGAGGAATCTTTTAGTTCCTAAATTAATTAAAAGATCTACCATGTTTCCTATTAGTATTTTCAATTAGAAAAAGAAATATTATATATTATTTTAGAGAGCCTAAGAAATTCAGAATCAACATAAAAGGAAATATAATATATGAAGACAGGTGGGGAAATAGATTATCAAACAAAAAAGAACAATGGGGCTTGCAGGACAGCTTGTAAGTGCAGTGAATTTGAGCTTCAGAAGGAAATCAAAAGTCAGGAAAAATTACATTGGAAAACTTTTTTTCACATCTTAAAACAGCAAATATGAAGGGCAAAGTCAGGAGGAAAAAAATCAAGGGATACTCAATAAAAACTCAAATCATCAATTACAAACAATGGAGGCCAAACAAGAGAGAAACCACCCCTTCAAAGGGACGCAAACATAAACATAAACCTAGAATTTATATAAACTGAAAATATCTGTTGAACATTTATTTAAAGATCTCTAAAGCTGCGCCCGTGTGAGTGTGTGAGAGTGTAAATAACCGGAGAAGAAAAAACAGATTCCATTCCAAAGAGGAATGAGGGAAGGAAGAGCTTCAGAAATCAACAAGCTACATGTATGGACACCCAAAAGGCGTGCCACTGAGAGAGACTGGCAGTGTCCAGGTAAGAAGTCAAACAAGAGCTTCGGTTCTGCTGCATAGAGGTAAAGGAAAACACGAGCCACCTGGAGAGGTGAGCCAAACCAGACACAGCCAGTTCTTCCTAAAGACAAGCCCACAGCCCTCTCAACCCTAAACCCAGTTTCAAGTCTGGATGAGACAGTAATTCTTCCAAGGGATAGGTCAGCATGAATATGAATTCCATTTTGTATTTCATATGACCAAAGGGCAGTGTAGGATACCATCTTCAAAAATACTATTGTTTAAAAAAATCAATTTGACAGCTGGGCGGTGGTGGTGCACATCTTTAATCCCAGCACTTGGGAGGCAGTGACAGGCGGATTTCTGAGTTCGAGGCCAGCCTGGTCTACAGAGTGAGTTCCAGGACAGCCCGGGCTATAAGAGAAGCCCTGTCTGGAAAAACAAAAACAAAAAACAAACAACAAAAAAAAACAAAAACAAAAAAAAATCAATTTGACTTGCCATGGCCTCTGAATAAAGGGAAGGACCAGAGAGGCAGCTGCAGAAAGCAGGATTGCCAGACAATAACAAATCAAATGGTGCAGGTGGCTGGAACCTCAAGTCAGACAGGTAAATACATAAGCAAAGACAGTCCTACCAATGGTTGCTAGAAGCAGATCCCAACAATGGAAGATACCCTGTACTGGGATGGCATTGAGCCTGAGGCCAACAGTTAACTGTACCTCTACAGTCTGTACCTACTAGCCACAGTTGCAGACACTAGGTCAGGGGTAGACGAGATAGCCACAGCAACATCCCTTCCAGCAAGGTCATCTATACTCAGGAAGTCTTCAAAGTGCAATGGTACAATGATAGCTCCTCTGCCTGTACTTACTCAGTATTGTAGTTCTACACACTATTAGTGCACTTTAAGGCTATCCTGGTTAAAGTATTAGCCACCCAGATAGTACCCCCGTGGGAAATGCAATGGTGAAAGACTTTAACAGCCCACAGACTGAAATACTAAGTGTGACCAGGAGAGGGCGCTGTTACAAAGAGCAAAACCGAACAAGGTAAAAATCAGTCTGTTGGAAATAAAACACAAGTCCAAAACAATAAATCACAGGTATGTCGGTAGCACAGATGCTGAAATGGCACTCCCTCACTCCATGCATAAAGCCACATGGCAGAATATTTCCCAAATCTAGAAGGAAAAAAACATAATCCCTCAAAGGAATTGACTAAAGAACTTCTCCAGGATATTAACTCAAGATGTGAAAAATAGAGGCTGGAGATGGCTCACTGGTTAAAAGCACTAGCTGTTCTTCCAGAAGTCTTGAGTTCAATTCCCAGCAACCAAGTGGTGGCTCACAACCATATATAATGGAATCTGATGTCCTCTTCTGTCATGCAGGTACTCATGCAAACAGACCACTCATGGACACAAATCATATAATTATATAAATACATCTTTTAAAAAGATGATAAAACTACAAAACAAAGAAACATAATGGAAAATGGCTAATACATGTACAAAGGGCATTAGAGAATATGTATTTCATGATATCAGTTCTGCCAGTCTGTGAGCAAGTGGTGTCTTCCCACCTTCTGATGTCTTCTTCAGTTTTTTTCCCCCGAGTATTTTAAAGCTTAGATTGTAGATGTCTGTTACCTTCTTGTTTGGGCTTATTCTGGATTATTTCTGAAGGTATTATAGATGAGAATTTCCTAATTTTTAAATTAATTTATTATTGTTATATAGAAAAGCCACTACATTTTGTATGTTTATTTTGCATCCCGCTATTTGCCTAAAAGTATTTGTCAGTTATAAATATTGGTAGAAGCCGGACAGTGGTGGCGCACACCTTTAATCCCAGCACTTGGGAGGCAGAGGCAGGTGGATCTCTGAGTTCCATAGTTCGTCGTGGCTAGTCTGGTCTACAGAGTGAGTTCCAGGACAGCCAAAGCTACACAGAGAAACCCTGTCTCGAAAAACCAAAACCAAAAAAAAAAAAAGATAAATATTGGTAGAATCTTAAATTTAGGGTCACGTTGTACGTAAGCAGTATTATCTGACTTTTTCCTTTCCTATGTGTGCCTCCGTGGGTTATTTTTCCTGATGCATTGCTTATGACTTTGAGCAGTATATATTGAAGTTGGCACCTGTATCTTTCCAGATTTCAGAGGCAATGCTCCTGTTTTCCTGCCTTTACTATAGTGTATAGTATAGTCTTGTATATCACCTTTATTATGTTAAGATATGTTCCCCATAAAAGTCCCAAGTACATTCTATACAGAACTAGAAAACCAAACCCTAAAGTTTATACAAAAGCACTAAAATCCCTGAGTAGCTGAAGCGTTCTTAAAACAGAAAGAAAAATGCCTGCCAGAGATGATAAAAATCTGACCTTAAGTTCTATCACAAAGACTTAGTAACAAAACAGCATAATACTGGTACAAAAGCAGACGTGTAGACCAAAGGAACTGAGGACACAGAAACAAACAAACAAAGTATTTCATTCATTTCTAAGTAAAAATGTTTTTGAATGAAATTGATGACAAAGAATAATTATTTTAAGGCTTCATGCTCAACCTTGAACCTAGACATTATACTGAGCATCCTACGTCAAAACTGTGTGTTCCTGCATCCTTAGCACGGCATTCAAGAACAGACTGTCTTGACTTCTAGGCATGCTGTTTCTATCTTGCCTTAGAAGAACAGTAAATATTACATAAGAAGAAAAGGGGAAGGGAAATACTTTTAATACACTGCAACACTAAACAGAATTGGAGACAAGTTCTAGCAACTGGAATGAAGTTGAGGCAAGGGATCTGTCTCAAAGTAAAGGACGAAACTTAAAAATAAGAAAAGACTCGATGTTCTTCTAAACATACTAAGAGAAAAATAAATCTTGAAAGCATAGTAGAATAGGTAATTGAAAATCTCCATGAACAAAAATGTCAAAACTCAGTTAACAATTCAAATAAAATAGAGTTTACCTTTTCAGGTTTACCATTGCCCAGGGAATCCCAGTAGGTGTGTTAAAGGCAGGAAGGAGTTTCTCAGCCAACTGTACTGCTTTAGTCTTGAATATCTGAGACAAAAGTATAAATAATCATAAACTACAGCTAAGTATTGCTTATTGTCACCTCTTGCCATATGCATACCACAACATACAAGTTATATACAAGCTGTGTGGTAAGTGGTTACATGTCATACTGCAGAGTACACAGTAACTAGAGTGGATATCTGAGCACATACTGAGGAAGGTTTCCCAACATGCGATATCCTCAGTGGACACATAGTTATACAGAAAGGACATAGTTCTGGTTCTCATCTGTATTTTTACCTGTTCCGCTCCCCAAAACTCTAAGAGAAAGCTGGGAAAACGGATCATCAGCAAAAGCAATTGCCATGAAAGAATCAAGACTGGTGTTCAAACTGCCAAAAACCCTCATAAATTCTGGTGGGCACAGCGGTTCACACCTGAAGTCCAGAAACTAAAACTGAAGCCAGGATCCCCAAGCAAGCTACATAACAAGACCAGCCATATCAGCAAGCTCTGACTGGGTTTGACTGGAAGAACAATCCAGAATGACTCCAACATAAACCTCAGGCCTCCACATGTACTTGCACACACGTGCACCCCCTAGACCCACACATACACAAACACACATGAAAATTCCCACATGTGCATGCGTGTGCACATACACACACGCACACACACAAAGAAAAACAAAATCTAAGAGAAGACAACTAGGCTACAGGATCTTCATCAACATGTAAGCTTATTTCAAATATTTAACAACCAAAGGCTATTAATACAGTCTGGATAGACACCCCTGAGTTGCTGTAAATGTTTCTGTTTGATTTAGCACACACACACCCGGAGGTGTGTATTTCTGGTTACATAATATTAGAAAACAACATTTTTTTAAAAAAATTTAAGACATTACTGGGTATCTCAAAAACTTGAAGGAATCTAAAAAAGGAAAAGTATACAACATAATATGGTCTTTATTTCTGGTTTTTTTTTTTTTTTTGGTTTTTCAAGACATTCTCTTTTTTTGTTTGTTTGGGGTTTTTTGTTTTTGTTTTTTGTTTTTCGAGACAGGGTTTCTCTGTGTAGCCCTGGCTGTCCTGGAACTCACTCTGTAGACTAGGCTGGCCTCGAACTCAGAAATCTGCCTGCCTCTGCCTCCCAAGTGCTGGGATTAAAGGCGTATGCCACCACTGCAATGCCAGTACAATGTTAAACATGATTTCTCTTTATTTCTATTAATACATACCATCAAAATCACATTTGTTTTTGTTGAATTTGTTGCAAATAGCTCACTACTTTTCTTTTTTATTTTATTAATTAAAATGGAAAATTATGTTAACTATTTTATTTTGATATTAAATCAGTATTGCTTTCTGGATATAAACCCAACTTATACTTGAGACATTTTTTTCATATTCTTACTGGTTGAGCTTTACTAATTTTTTTTCAACATTTTTACTTATATATTCACACAGTTTACAAATCTATAATGTTCTTTTGGCTATCAGTGCCACTATGGCGTCAGAAGAGTGGGACAGTGTTCTCTGTACAGGACAGAGCACCTTCTTAGTTTCCAGGAGCTCCTGAATCAATCACTAACACCATCAAAACAAGTTCCTGAGTTTCTGAAAGAGAAGAGCCAAGTTATATAATCTGCCAAGGTACCTGCCTGCCCATCAACAGATGAATGGGTCAAGGATATGTGATTGTGTGTGTGTGTGTGCGCGCGCACACAACATATATATGATCAAAAATATATCATCTGCAGGGAAATGGAACTAGATCATCTTCATGTTAAGCCACACTCAGAAAAACAAATCTAGCCTGTTTTCATTCACATGTGGAATCAGTGCTCAAAACCATGAGATTAGGACTCTCTGGAAAAGGAAGGGGACTGTTACTGGGCAGGAGAGGACTATTAAGGTGGGCAGGAAACCTCTGGGAATGGGGACAAAAACATAGCAGAGTAAGTGTTAGTATGATCAAAGTACATTACATATGTGTACAGACATGGCATGATGAAAGCACTTATTTTGTACAATTAATAGATACTAATTAAAAATGGAGGAGGAGAAGGACAAGGAGGAGGTAAAAGGAGGAGGAGAAGGGGCGGAAGGAAGAGAAGACGAAAGGAGAAGGAAGAGGAGGGGGAGAAAGAAGGAAGAGGTGAAAAAAGAGGAGGAAGAGAAGTCATCAATTTTGACATATTTTTCAGAGAACATGTTCATTTTACCTAAAATCTTTGTTTGAAAACAATGGTGGGCACACTCCACTATGATGTTTTTAATGTCTTGTGTGTGGAGAGGGGAGGGAGTCTCTGCAAACATCAGGGTCAGCAGAGTAACAATCCTCATGAGGCAAGAAGAAAATCCCAATCAACACAGTTAGCTGTTGTTAGTTCACACTTCTAGAGAGTCGTACCTCAGACAGTTTACTGCAGACATATTTAAGTACAGTACAATTGGAAAAGAGTTTTCTGGTGTAATACAATTCCCCATACACAAGGAGGTATAATTACATAGAAACTCTTCTCAAAATACATGTCACTTCTTCCATGAAGATGGGTCTGGAGTTGGCTGTATGTGTTATCTTAAGGGCCTAGGCAAAGACCTGGTATAGTCTTGGTCATTCAAAGAGCACAGAGGTCATCTGGGCAATTAGCCACCACTGGTACTGGTTGTGGAAGCTTGGGGGAGGAACTCTATCTGTAGGTGACCATACAGATAGTGCAAAGGTCACCTAAACTATTAGTCAACTCTGCTCCTCCCTGTGGGAGCTCTTTGCAGCCTGGCCTTACAAATAGCACAGATCACCAGGCTACTGGAAAACAGGTTTCCCTTGAAAAGACAATGGGGCATGTTTAGCATTCCCGGTTTCCCCAGTGTTCTCTGTAAGCCCGAGAACCTTTGTGCTCCCAACAGTGTCTATAGTGTCTGCAATGAAAGCCTAACCATGGAGACAGCACTCATTCCTGATCTTGGTAAGCTATCTTCTATTACTTCCTTCTTAATATAGTTAGTTTAAACACTTTACTCAATTTTGTTCATACTTTCCAAGTACCACCTTTATAACATTTTCAATTTCCCCTGCAATTCTTTATTTGATGTGTATATTACCTGCAAGCATTTTTTCCAAAGCCTCAAGCCAAGCTAGACTGGGACTCACTATGCAGTCCAGCCTCCTAAAGAACTGGGATTACAGTGAACCACCACATAACAACAGCTATTTTCACTTTCTTATAATTTGACTGAAATTTTGTTGTCCCGCATATGCATATCACATGTACTTGAAAAGACTGTGTATTCTGTAGTTGTTGAATGAGTGTTCTATAAACATCAATTCACTTAACACAGCTGTTACTGTTGCTAAGGGCTTGTATACATCATTACTAATGGTCTGTCTGTCCTATCAATTTGCAAAAACTGTCAAAGGGTTTAACAGTCCTTGTGGAATTGTCTTTTTACTTCAAGAATTCAGAACTCTTAATTCTATCCATTTCTGTTTCATTCATTTGAAGCTCTATTATTAGGTGCCCAAAACGGAGTAAGTTATTGCTTTAATTTTGGGATTGTTGTGCCTCTCTGATGTATTCATCCTTTATCATGAAGCAACCTTCATCTCTGTTGGTAATTTTTATTGTAAAGTCTATTTCATTATTTCATAGCTGATATACATTAAACATTGTAATGGAACATTCTGAGGTTTTTTGCTTTAAATAAATACATCATTTTAAAGGTACTGGATGAAAAATAATCGCCATGGTTTCAATTATTTAAATTCCATGGTGTCATTTTGTCCCATTGGTGCTTTCAAACTTCTGTTTTAATCCCTGGTTTCTAGCTGTGTGACTATGATATGACTAAGTTTGCTTAGTCATAATGCCCTAGTTAGATTTTTCTGTCAACTTGACACGGCAGGGTCATTTGAGAAGTAGGAATGCTGAGAAAATGTCTCCATCAGACTAGCCTATAAGGAAGACTGTTGTAGATTTCTTGATTAATGACTAATATGAGAGGGCACAGCCTACTGTGGGTGATCCTAAGGTGTACAAGAAAGCAGGCTGAGCAAGCCATGGGTGACAAACCAGTAAACAAGTGTTCCTCCATGGCCTCTGCTTCAGTTTCTGCCTCTAGGTTCCTGCCTTGACTTCCCTTCACAACAGACTACCACTGTAAGATGAAAGAAACCTTTTCCTCCCCATGTTGTTTTGATCATGGTGTTTCATCATAGCAATATAAACCCTAACTAAGATACATGCTAAGGTAACATGTCTTCAATTTCAGGTCTGCTACCAAATACAGAAAAAATATGGCTACTGTTTTTCAACTATCTCTATCCAAAGTACACGTGTATCGAACATTATCTCAAACTTTTGAAGCATTTATCAGGGTTTTTTTGTCCTGATTTTATTATCTTTCTTCATGCTAAATAATATTGCTCTATCTTCAAGTCTAGTGATGCTACTTTCAAAGACAGCTATAAACAATATAAAGTTTTTTGGATACTATATTCCTCTTTTCTAGACTTTTAATGTTCTTTTTCATAGATTTACTTTTTACTAAAATTTTCATCTATGCAGTAACTTCAGGAATATTTACCATGTCATTGATCCTAGCTGTGAAAGATTCTATAAAACATCTATTGACTAATCTGAGTAACCCCAAGATAGGTCAATACTCATGTGTAAGTAGTGTTTTCCCTTGTTTCCTCATACATTAGTAATTGTGAACTGAAACCTAGTCACTGTAAACTGTACTCTGAGACTTTAAATATTGTTATATCCTCTGAGAAATGCTTGTCTTACATCTTCTGAGTATCTCTCCTTATAGCAGACAGCAGCTGGAAGAGGCATGCTCAAGATCAAGAGCAACATCTAGGAGGCTTGATGTTTGTTCAATACATGCTTACTTTTAGGACTTAGCTAATCAAGTAGAGTTGTGTACAGCATCTGGGGTTTTCCTCCAGAGCACTCTCTTGTCATAAATTTTACCCCTAAATTTCTACCTGTTACAAATAGCTATAAACTCTGTCTTTTCAATCAAATCAGTAAC